CAGATAAATCCTCTCAGCGAATCGCATTTCGTAGTCTTCAGCCGCCACCCACACAAGTCAGGGGAAAAACTAGCCGTAACACAGTTCCCAAAAGTAATGTTGGGTTTTCCACGCCCCCAAATGGCAGGATTTACTCGGGAACCATTGGACCATTTCAAGTCCAAGCGAAAACTGTCGTGAGCTCCAAGCAGATGTGGTTTTGGATGGGTCCCAATAATCTCCCTCAATTCTTCAAGAAGGGAGGGACTGTGAGGTATAGCGAGGTCCGAACCCGTCTCAAGGCACTTAACACGTGCTGAATTTAAGACGTCGTATCCCTGATCTTTATCTTTGGAGGCGTTTCTATAAAATGAATCGATCTTAAAGCAGGACCGATCGATTTCGTACCATCCGGGTAAACAGTTGTCTTGACTTACTAAAAAAATTGAGTGATAGTGATACAATGATAAAGAATGTTATTTCATATGTTGGTATGAGATGCTTATTCACAAGACTTTTTGTGTCTATAAGGAATACAGAATCAGAATTAGGTCGAAACGCACTCGTGAAAGACTCATGGGCCGTGGAAAACAGAAACCAACGTCAGTATCTGAGTAACAGCGCACCTACTCCTCCCCTTACCTAACTAACGACAGTCAACTGATAACAAATTAGTGCCAATGTTGGTTTAGGGGAGGAGTGGGTGCACAATTTCTCAGATACTAACTTTGATCCGAAAGAAGTGGTCTTGTAAATATTTGTAGAGGCTGATTAGGCATAAAAAAAAACATCAAGCGGGAAATTTTAAGAGTAACTTTAACTTTATAACTGAAACTTTATTCTTCGTTCTCCCAAATCATGCGCACGTGTGTTGGATGTTTTCAATCACATGATGAGCAGCTGTGTTAATTCATCGGAAAAAAAACTATTTGCATATGAAAAGAGTTGATATCCTCTAGGAATTACTAATTACACCAAATAGGGCCGGCGCTGAGATAGACTTAATGTGAAAATGATCTAATTTGATGTTTGAAACACGCTCTTGAAAAAAGAATATCAACTAGAAGAGTTCTAAGGTAAATTCTCGGAATAAAAGGAATTTATTTTGAATAAAGAGTATTTTTTTGAAAAATTAATTATTTACAACAAAAATGCATTACCTGTGCTGATTGTAGATAAAAATTTGAGCAAACAAAAAAGAACGACGGCTTGCACGTTAAAATTCATCACAGAGGCCATAATCTTGATGTCGGGTGATACTAATAAATAAAGGTGCATGAATAAAAATAAGAAAGCCAGATACAGATTATCATACAAACTTTTATGACAGACTTTTAAGCATTTGGGCTTATTTGGTATTCATGCTTACCATGAGTGTGATGTCGGACACAGAAGGAAAATTTGAATCAGTTAGAGAACACCCCCTTCAGACAAATTGATTCAAGTCGGTGTGAACTTCGAGACTCAAAGGCTCAAGGAAAGGGGTTTCATTCATCTGTAACGCGTGTGGGGTTGACAAAAAGTGAAAAAGGAAACGTTTGAATCAAAGACCATCTGTTTTCTGTCTTCTTCTGAGTGACAGAAAACTTGAGGCAGGATCATTAAAGAGCCACGTATAGTGCATTAATCTGTTAACAGATAATAATGCTTTCTAGCCATAAGTTTTCTCAACAGTGTTAAGAGACAATAATGCTTTCTAGCCATAAGTTTTTTCCACAACCTAGGGGACGAAGGTTAATTCTTTGTTCCAACATCGTAAAAAATGAATTTAAAACCTTTTCTGTTCGAACTAATTACACTAGCTACAAACGTTTTGGCCATATGGCGGTGAAGCTACGAGATATTAAAATCCTTGAAATATTTGGAAATGAATTTAAAACTGTTTATGTTCGAACTAATTACTCTAGCTACAAACGTTTCGGCCATATGGTCGTGAAGTTACGAGATGTAATCTTTGTTCACGAACGATCGAATATATCAATTTCGATTCGGTCCTTTTTCTAACATAACCAAAACTGTCTCTTTTGGGAGTAAAATATAAAAGTTACCTTCAAAGGAAACTAATAAATAAAGGAGCATGAGTAAAAACAAGAAAACCAATCCTACAGATGTTCTCTGCGTTTCATGCGCGTGAAATACGTCGAAATCCAAATAATCTTCTGAAACTAAGTTAAAATTTCCAAAGAAATGCTCAAAAAAAAAAAAAGGAACAAAAAAAAGTGTTATTTTGATGTCTTGTTTTTTTCGCATGTTCGATTCTTTTAAAAGTCTTTCTTATTTATTTGTTTATTTTTGTTTTAAGTTAGATTAAAAGAACGCAATTGTTTTCTATGTTCTGTTTTGCTTCACCCGTGTTTCTATCGTTTTCTTCCTTTAAGCTTACGACGGAAAAATTAACGAGCTTCCTTGCCGCAGTATAACATGTTTTGGAAACTCTCTCAGGACCTCGAACTACCCGAAATGACAAATTGCTAGAAACGTACTGAATGCATGTCAGATTTTGTTTGTACATTATTTCCAGCTCTTGTACTCGAGATTTGAGTAAAAACTTAGGCCATGCTGGGTGTTACCTTGAATCTGAATTCTGTAGGCTGATTCCAAATGACTCCAACGAGGAGGTTTAAAAACGTTTCATGTCTTTCGTTGTATCGATGTGCAGAAATTTGACTTTTTATTATGAAGGAGGCAACTCACATTCAATTAAAATGCAAATTTCTTTTCGTCCTAAAAATAGCATGTTTTCTAATATAGATCTCTTTGTTGATAGGTGGTCGACAATTCTGAAGCTGAATTGTTTAAAGTTCTCAAATTAATGTCTTTTTAGATAAAAACTTTTGGAAATTCCTAAATATAATTGCTAAACTGATAATTCTCAAGAACTGGGAGCCGAAGCACGCCACCATCTGTTGCTTGTCTATTTCTGTTTCAGTGAAGGTAAAGGAGGGGCGGTGCATTTTAGGTAATTAGATAGGTGTGGGTGAGACGCGACGGCCGTCAACTCTTAGCTTTGTTTGAAAAAAAAAATCCATTCAATAAGCCTGCCTTTTAAGTATAAATTAGGTGAGTTATGTATAAAAAATAAATACTCATCAATTCTTCCATAACACCGACTCAGTAAAAGCCTCGACGTACATGTCTCCGCAATTTTCTCTACAACCACCTTTCCCGAGAAATAATCTTCGTCCTCCCTCCTTTTTAATTAAAGGTTTTTCTTTTTTATTTTTTTAGATGAGTTTCTTTTTTACTATTTGTTAATGTTCTCCTGGTATGGAGTGATGTTGCGATTTCATCTTACTCTCCAGGATCTGCCACTGTGCACGTACAAAACCGTCGTTGGTCGAGCAAATAATTCAGCTCAATAATCACCCGCTGAGAGTGGATATTTCATACCAGTAATGAACAGTCTGCCGTTCAGGGTAGAAAGTTCTGGGTTCAGCTGTGGCCGGTCCATTGAATTCTATTCTTCGGCAACATACTTTACACTCGCAGCGTCCTTTCCATCCAGGGTGGGTGCTGGCGAATTTTCAGAAAAAAAAACTGACGAATAGACTTCTAAAACTTTCAGTGTAACTATCCATAACTTTAAAACTGATTATTAGGGTTATTTTTTTCCTTTGACTCTTTTAAGTTTTTTTTGTTTTGTTCTGTTTTTCTTTTCGGTTGGGGAGTTGACTATCTGTTGGCAACTACTGATCTCCCTTCCTTTCCCCCCCGCGATCCCACCAAATCCTCTCCACCCACCCCCCCAAAGGTAATGAATGCTGACTGGTCACTTAAATGGCGTAGGCTCTGTTTTAGAATATTATGGGTTGACACGGAAATCTTTCCCTTACGAAGAAACGAAAACCTACGCTCGTAAAGATAGTGGAAGATGATCGTTTCAACACGTTTCGTTTCATATATTACAGCTCTTTCATGATAAATGAGTGGCAAATGCGACAGTATCAAATTTGTCATCCGCTCCCACGAACAAAGAGATTTTTGTGAAACATGCGTGTACATTTTTGACAGACACCTATGGAAAACCTTATGACACAGAAATACAACAAACTGGATGTTTTCCGGTAAATTAGTAGTGCCCAGGTCACACTCAATTTCAACAAGGGTCAACCATTTTATTACTTGGTAAAAATTCTAATAGAATAAAGGTATCAAGTTTCCATTTCGTTATCACTACCAGCGAATCTAAGAGAGGGTCAGTGAAGGGATCAGTAAGAAATTATTAGGGGGAGTCAGTTCACCGGGGCGTCGCTGTTTTGTCATATCCCCGAAATTTGCAAGATGGTAGATCGAAGGAACTTGACCTAATACTCCTCGATTTAGCGATAGGGTTAGAAATCTGTAATGGTAGCTTGACCAAAATGGAAAGGAGCGTAAAAAATAGACAGTGGCGAAACACTTCTCAACCAAGGCAGACTTAAAAACTTGAACATGATTTCCACTCTTAAGCTATCTGATTCTCTCTCGATTAATTAAAAGGCAATAAATCCAAGTTAATAGAACAAGGAACATGAATATTTTTGGGCTTCA